ACTACTCAGCTCTCCAGACCCCAAACCGGACTCCTGTTTTCCCATTGGCACATCAGAGCTCTCTTCAGTTTCCACCTCATGCTCCACCCCTTGCTGGGTTCTCTCCCCACTCTCAAGGGAAGGTTGGATGTCACCCCATCCCCCTGGGGCAACTCTGCTAGGTCTGCAGACATTTCCTGGCTTTGATCTGACAGTGTCCTTAGCTGACATTCCGAAACTGCTTCCTCTTCACTGTCTGACCCCCCCTTTCCCATCAACTCTATCCAGAGACTGCAGCCTTTCCAGCTGCTTTTCCCGGTGCATGTGCACAAGAGAGGTCATCCCACAGGGTGACCAAGGCAGCTTCCATTCCAAAACCAGGCAAGTGGAACTGGGCTTGGAAGCATGCAGGCAGCCCATGCAAATGGGGCAGCATTGGTGTGATATGCTCAGGCTGTCTGGTCCCTGCTATTAGTCATCTCCTGTTTTGTTTCTTCGCTCTCAGCTCTGTGGCTTACCAGGCAGCCATGTCAGCTTGACTGCACAGAGTGTGCCCAGGTATGATTGTCCCAGGTATGATTGGTCAAGGTAATACATTTCATCAGGGGTAGTTCAGTCTTTAAAGACCATGATAAGAAACATGGGTTTATCAGTACCACTGTGGCAGAGCATGTTGTCTGAACCCAGAATTGTGGTTTCCACGGTGCTGTTATGCAACTACCACAGAGTCCCCTGGAAGGAACAGCAATTGCAGGATCTGCTCCAGCCATCCAACCTGATTACCTGAGATGTGCCGTAAGAGCCTGGAGTTGATATTGAAGAACAGGTGTGCACGATTGCCCTGGAAAGCACCATGGACCTGTATAGCCACTGCTCCATACATACGACCTGAGAAGGCATTGCACTTCAGGTTGACATCCACCGGTGGTGGGACTGCTTCTCCCTTCTCTGGGGTGCAGTATGAGAAATGTTTGCAAGTTGCCTCAGGACTTAGCTTGAGAAGTGGCCCAGTGTACAAAGTCAGGCAAAAGCGGTCTCCTACAGTGCAATCTGATGCATATTTAGATGGAGAAAAGGCTGCTGCTGTCTGGAGCATGCTGGGAGTGTTTGGCCCTTTTGCTTTGATCCCAACATGCATGGGATTGCTCCTGCAGGGCTGTGATCTGGAGTAGGGCTTCAACAAGCCAAGGCCCTTTCTTGGGAAGGCTGTTTCTCCCCAGTGCGTGGGAACCCACCTTCCACTGATAGTTTGGCTGGAGTGCATTCTTCCCTTGCTTTGTTTCAGATTGCTTCATCACTCACTGGAGGAAACAATCATGCTGGGGAAGGTGAAGGCAGAAGATGAGGAGGAAGATTAGCTACCGGATGGATCCATTCCATCAAGGCTTGGACGTGCAAGAGCTGAGCACAGCTGTCAAAGACAGGACTTATTGGATGATGCTCATTGCTATGGGGGGCCATATGACAAGGATAACCTGATGGCACCTGGCAACAACAATCTTCCCTCCCATGGACAAGAGTACCATCCCTTTTCTCTCTGTGATCATCAAAAACTTCTTTGGAAATGGTGTTCCCATCATACCAGATATGTGGGCCTTTGACAAGATTGTGCTGAGTGATTCTTGCAGGCGTTCTCATCATTCTATGGATGTTTCACAGAATTGAGCTCCCTGGGCATCCACTCTTTAATCTCATGCTGGAGGTAGAATGTAGGACTAATTGTAGCCCAGGAAACACGGGAATCGCTTCCATGCTCTCTATCCTCTTCATCCCACATTTCTTATCAAGATAAGAATGCCTTCCAATCTGAGCCAAAGTCCGTCTGTAGTGGCAACACCAACATAGACCTGTTCCTGATGGAAATAGATAACCTGGCAAGACTTTCCTATGACCTGAATTTTATTGTGTATGATTCCTCTAGAAGTCACATTAAATAGGTTCTTACAAAGACACAGGAATTTACTGAATTTTGTTGATCCTCTGAAGTTGCTGTATGGCTGTCCCAGGTTACCTTGGTTTCATTCCCTCAGTTCTCTTGGAAATGTAGCAGAAAATATAAAATGGCAGGAAAGGGACTCACAAAGTGGCACCCTGACTCCAGCTGGGGATGTAGGGCCAGGCACTGCTTCTTCATGCAGTTCCAGCACCCAGGGAAGTGTGCACCCACTTCTTACCACAGCAGCCCTTTTCGCAGCCCCCAGAAACCACTTTTTTGCTGCAAGGCTTCAAAAACCCCGCTGTGGTGCTGGGAGGAATGCTGGGAGTTGCAGGAGTTGTTCCCGCCAGGACATTGAAAAGAGATGCCTTAATCACTCCGAATAGGGATACATGCTCACCCTGATAGGCCTCAGGCAGGTCCCCCTCCTGGCTCTTCAGCCCTTCCCTTGAGCTCGTGGAACAAGAATGTCCAAGTGATGCTCTCCAGAGACACATCTGAGCTGGAGACACCTCCAACTCCCAAGGAGCATGAGCCATTCTTTTCAAGGCTACAGCATCTGCCGGGCTCTTCTGGGTTGTGGCCACCGACCTCACTGCAGTGGTTTAGCTGTGGCCCCTGCTGTCCGTGTCCTGACATAGTGGTGCTGGGAATTGTGGGCACTGTCACACTCCTTCTTTAGTATCTTGAGTAATTCCAGCAGGCCCTCAGACTACACCCCCCACACAGCACACTCTGAACTTTCCACCACTGTGTCCCTCATTTCCCAGGAGCACTGAACGCCGCTGCACAAGCGCTGGGAGCTGCTTGCAAGGGGGAATCTGCAGAGCCACACTGAATGGCAGTAACACATTGCCTGGAAGGATGCTGCCCAACATGTGCAGGATTCTTCCTTGTGCAAGGGACAGCTGGGTTAAGTGGGGATTCCTGGAGATGAGCCTGCTCTGATCTTCCAAAGATCCTCCTGACATAGAGGCAAATGCTCAGTAAATATTGTCTATCCAAAGGAGGGTAGCAACTGGGCCTGCCTCTTGCAAAACACAGCAATCCAAGATAGAGAACTCTGAATTTGAAGAGGAAGAAGCAGTGTGGTCAGAGCAAGTTCTGATTCCCACCAAGCAGTGATCAGAGATAACATGAAGTATGCAGAGCTGCAGCTTCACTTGCCCTAGGTCCTCCCCCAGCAGAAGGTATGGTGTGGGGAGAGCTGCTTTCCACGTAGGGCAGTGTTGGTAGGACAGATGGAGGACAATCTGCCACTCTGCACAGCTACTCTACACAGCCTCTGGACTCCACAGGAACATGAGAACATGAGGAAAGACATGCCAGACCGGACCCCTGGTCCATCCAGTCCACCTCACTATTCTCTTGGTGGCAAACTAGACATCCACAGGATCCCTCAGGTAGGATGTGGACAAGATGGGGACAAGAGAGGATGCAGAGCAGATCATTTGCTTAGTGGTAGACAGAGGCAGATGAAGAGAGACAGGAATTCAGAGATACCTTTCGCTGAACCAGAGGAAACCATCCTGCTTCTGAAAATTGGGGTGCATTCATAAGCCTGACTCCGAGGCCAGTTGAGGTCTTTGTGGGAGCCATTGACCAAGGTGGTTAGACATCTCCAGTGACTTCTGGCTAGTCATCACCAGTGTAGAGCACGAATGTCTCCTGGGAATACCATCCTTACTCTTCAAGGCATTTTCTGTAAAGCCAGCCCTAGGTAGAGCCAAGTTGGTATCTGTGCGCTCTGGAAATGGAGGGGAAATAATGTGTGCTGAAGGTCCATGTGACGGATATTGCATGGAAGTGATTCTCACTTTAAAACTTCAATGGCTTCTCCTTGCCCTTCTGCTCACATAAGACCCTTCATGTAAGTCTGCACCCATGGGTGTGGGACTCATCTTTCTCATTTTTCTAGGAATGAGGGTGGAAGAAGCTGGACTGGCTGCAATCAAAGGATATTATAGGTAGGGTTTTAAGGATGTAAAGTGGAAGACTGAAATGAAGAAGGTTGGATCTTGACCAAAGGCCAGTTCTCCCTCTTCTCATAACACTTTTTTGGCTCCACCTAGAAATGGATGAACATAGTAGTGCAATACTTAAATCTTGGAGACACCACAGTAAGACAGTATGCTCAGTCTATGCAGTTGATTGACAACATCAACCAGCTACCTCTCCCTGACAAATACTAATACAAGAAAAAAACAGGACTAGGTAGCCAGTATACTGAACTGGCTTCAAAATTCCAGGGCATAAAAAGAGTCTTTCAGAAGCTGTGTGTCATGTGCACATTTTAAAGGCAGCGATGAGATTCTGAATGGGTGAGAATGTGAGGACAATGGAGTATAATGCGCACACATTGAGAAATTGCTATAGGCATGAAGAAAAACATCATGACCCTTCCAAGGCTTCAGGAAAAAATAAAATAGGGTGGTACAGAAACCTAACAGCTTTAAAAGGTTTTGCGTTTTTGCAATCTTAAAGCATTTTTTTTTACAAAATACATTAAGACAAAGCATGAGCTGGCTAGGTATCTTTACATAGCAAAGGAAGCGCAGCTGCTGATCTGCAAAAGTGTTTCAAAATTGTGTTGGAGCGTGCCCTATCTGCAAAGTTGGTGGAGGATTGTGATAGCCTGGGACTGTTTTTCCTTCTCCCCTTCCCTGAGAAGTAAATGGAAAGGAAAAACCATGTAGAAGGGGAAGGGGAGTGAGGGCACTGCTGTAAGATTTCATATTATAGATCATGCAAAAGAATATCTTTTTAATTAAAGATTTATTGGGACTTTCAGCATTCCTGACAATGCTCCTATGTTACTAGCTTGGCTATATGACACAAGCAGATGAGTAGCAAGGGGTAAGAATGTGTAAGTCTAGTTAAGAACCATGGTGAATCAGGTTGGGTGATAGCAAGCATTAAAGGCCAGACTGCAATACAATAGAGAAAGCACACCAACTGCGGAGAATATTATAAAAGCTGTTCTTCAGTGTTATTGAAAAGATGATATGAAACCCCTTTTCCCAAGTGCAGAAAAGGGCAAAGGAAATGGAGGAATCCTGGGGCACAGGTAAAATAGAAACCAAATTTATACTTGAGTTTTCATCATGAGATGTTCCTTTGTATTCAGATCAGGTCGTAGGATAATAATGTAGCACTTGGGAAGGAAAATGCAGCCCAGCAGCCCAACACTGGAGGCCAAGATGGAGAAGACCTGCACGGCCACCATGAGCTTCCCCTTAGTGCTTAGGTAGGTGGGTACGAAGGATATCCAGACACTGCAGAAGAGCAGCATGCTGAAGGTGATCAGCTTGGCTTCGTTGAAGGCCCCAGGCAGCTTCCTGGCCAGAAAAGCCACTGTAAAGCAGACGGCAGCCAGGAAGCCCAAGTAGCCAAGGGCAGAGTAGAACTTGGTCACAGAGCCTTCGTTGCATTGCAGGATGATCTGATCAGGTTGAGAGTGCATGTCCTTGTCAGGGAAGGGAGGAGAGGTTCCCAACCAGATGATGCAGATGACAACTTGGATGCTGGAATACAAAATGACGACGGAATTGGCCAAAGTCTTCCCCAAGCAGTTTCTTGCTCTGTTGCCTGGCTTGGTGGCCATGAAGGCCAATACCACGGTGATTGTTTTGGCTAAGACAGAAGAGACAGCAACTGAGAAGACGATGCTGAAGGCTGTTTGTCGGAGAAGGCAGGTCAGCTTCCTGGGCAGTCCAATGAAGAGGAAGGTGGAGGAGAAGGAAAGCAGGAGGGTGAAGAGGAGAATATAGGAGAGGTCGCGGTTGTTGGCCTTGACGACTGGGGTTTCTTGAAATTTAATGAAGATTCCTAACACAAGTCCTGTGAATAAGGATAGCATGAGGGCCATGAAAGCCAGGATGATCCCAAGAGAATCTTTATAGGACAGGAAGGTAATCTTCTTGGGGATACATTGGGTTTGGTTCTTGTTTGGATGCTGATCATCTGGACACCTGGTGCAATGGTCAGCATCTGAAAACGGAAAGAGAAACATCTCCCTTTCATCCTTTGCAACCTGTGTTCTGTACACTCAATCAAGGATTTTGAGCCAGGAACCCTGGGATTACACATTGCTTTCCGACAGGCCCATTCAGAGTTGCTATACTTCTTCCTTCTCTCATACCAGTGATTCCTGTGTTTCGAATTCAAAGATGGCTATGGGGAATCCCTGGTCCTCAGAGATTTCCTGTGCTATTTTAGGGGTTTTGCTTAGCTATCTCCCTCTGGAACATTCCCCTTGGTTATAGCCAATGTGTCATTTAAGGCCAGGAGCTCACAATACTGGCTATGTCTCTGTTGTCAGGCATATTTTATTTATATACCTATTTATTTATTTAAACTTTTATATGCCATCCCTTATGCATGGCATCTCAGGACAGCTTACAATCATTAAAATCAAAAAACAGTAAAACAAGTCATATCAATATAACATAGAACAAATAACCAAGAAATATACATGAAATAAAAAGTGACTGTTGAACATTACAATGCTAGTTTTTAAATTAACTATTCTCTGCCTATCAGAATACCGTGTGGTAGGTGAACTCTAAGGCACATACCTGCCCAGAGGCTTCTCACTGGGCACTGTGCAGTGTGGCTGAAATGGTGTATTCAGAGAATCAGAGAAGAGGAGAGTTGAAAGGGCCCAAAAGACCATGCAGTCCAATGCCCTTCTGTTGCAGGACACCATTTTGTGCCATCCCATTGACATGATGAAGATCCCCAGATACTGCCCAGGTGCATTATTTGCGGTCATATTGGTGGATGGAGCAGACAAAGCAATAGAACAGAGTGAACTAGGCATGTGAAGTTTGTGATTTGGGAACATAGAAGCATAGAAACATTGAAACAAAGTGAGTCAGAAGAGGCCTCCTGGGCCATCTAGTGTGACCCTCGACTCCAACCAGTTCACTCATGTAATCCCCAGCATGGGGTTGTCCAAACGTTATTGTACAGTATAAACAGAGGTATAATAGATGGGAACAGAGAGGGATTATTGCTTGCTCCTTGCTCCAGCAATGGTGCCTCTGAATGGTGGACAATGCAGGATGAAGCAAGGGAGGTTCTCCTTCACACAGGCACTCTGAAAACATGCCATTTGCTAGCAAAGGTTATCCTGAAGTGAAAAATCATGGATGCATTGAATGATCTCTCTTTGTATGTTCTTATTTAAATTTGTGGATGCATTCACATATCAGAAAGGCCACAACAATTCTGCTAATCTTCCTGCAAAGGAGAAGAAACCTTTGCAAGAATTTGGTGTCATGCAGTTTTCATGCTTAATTTAGTGGGATAAACATTGCAGTAGGAATCATGGAGGAAAGAATGTGCTGTAAAGGTACTGACAACACTCTGCCTCACCCACCAAAAGTAGAGGAAATCTTCCAACATTCCTTTTGGAGACCCACTTTGTGAAACTGCTTTTGGATAGTTCAAGGAAGGTAGAAATGCCTCCACATGAGAAGAAATCACATGAGCTTGGAGACCCACTTTGTCAAGCCATTGTGTTGGATGAACGAGAGTGCCAACAGGTCCAGTGTTGTAAGAAGCCCCGTGAAGTGTGTGATTCATTGCACAACAAAAATAAAGGCATAATATGTGGGGGGCAAGGAGGAACCATGCCCTGCTCCTTGGTCCACCCATGGTGCCTCTGAAGAGCGGAGAAATCTGGATGGAGGAAGGGAGGTGCTTCATCACATCTCCCACCCAGATCCACTTGCCAAATTGAAGTTTGTTGGTCACACTAAAAACCAGTTGTGGATATTGCAAGAAAGGATTGAATTACACATATGGCCTAGAGAAGAACTTTGCTTAATGACTGAGTACAGGCTATGTGCAAACCCATTGCAGGCTGCCACCCGGAGTGGGCTTTCAGAAGAGGGCAACCCACTTCTCCATGTGCCTTGAATTGGTGAAACATCTACCCTGCCTCCATGGGGCTTTTTCAAAAGCTTGTTTGACCTTCTCTGCTCCCTCCCATATAACATTGGTTCCTGAGGTCATCCTATGATGCTGATTACTGAGTGATTCTCTCTGGCCCAAAAAAGACAGTCACTCTCCATTCAGCAGATTCTTAAACTATGGCATTCTCTTCCTTAAGTTGAAGCATGAACCACAAATCGAGAAGACTTGAAGAAATTGCTAGAACAATTCATGCAGATGCCAGCTTCCAAGGTCTGTGAGCCCTCCAGAGCAGAGGAGGTAGGCTGCTGTGTTCCAGTGGCTCAGAAGATGGGAGTGCTGTGGCACTTATGCCATCTAATGATCCCTTCAGCTCTTCCAATCAGCTGAAGATCATCGTTCCCAGCTAGGAACCCTCCACGGCAATGCCTTCCCTTTCATGTCCCCTCACTGTGTGTTCAGAGCACACCGAAGGAGCACTCTTTTGGACACAGTGACCCACAAAGCAATGTCTCTGAGAAGAGCCCCAGTGGCACCACTCACAGATTCCCAAAACCCCTCTTGCACCACAGAGTTCTCCACCCAGAACCCAGGTTGCTGACACTTGTGTGAACTGGGAAGACAGTTGTGGGTGGCTTTGTAGCAGCAGCAGTGGGGGTTAGGGGGTGTCCCTTACATGACTGCCCTGAGCTGGAGCAGAGATCACAAGGGGATGAAGAGGGGATGGGGCAAGAGGGACAGGTCACATCGCAGAACTCAAGGCACAACAGAAACGGTTCCTAGATATAAAGCAGTGGGGAGAGGCAGAATTTAAGCAGGCAAGTGACTGAATTAGAGCAGTGGTGGGGGAAACATCCCACCAGGAGCCAGCTAAGACAAATGGTGAAGTGGAACAGTAGCAAAACCTATATGTGAAGTGGAACAGTAGCAAAACAGGGGGCAAGGAATTATGGAGGCAGAGCATGTCACTAAGGTCCTTGGGATATGTGTGGTTGCCAGAAGGAAGACTGGAGAAAGAGGACTGGAACTATGCACACTCCATGGTAGGATTGTGTATAGGGGCTATCATTTCATAGCAAGATATGCCAGTGTGCCCAGTGTTTTGGAGGCTGGATTTCCCTCCATCATAACCTTGGCTGTAATAGGAGGCCCATAAATACCAACGAGGAAGGCCTTGACAGTTGTACACGGTCAACAAATATATGTATATATATATATAAGTAGGCAAGTAAATAAAGAGCTCACCTTCCTTAGAGGAGATAGTCCCTTCTGGGCAGGGAGTGCAATCATAGCAGCAAACGGGCTTTCCTTCCTGAACCACCTTGAAGAATCCAGGGCGGCAGCTTTCCACACACCTGGCATGTGGCAGGGGCTGAGTACAAAAACAAGGACAAACTGGAAAATACATTAGAGCTACCTGACTGGAGGAAAGGTTCGGCGACATTGGAAAAAGCATGATTCTGCGACTAGGGTTCTGAAGTTCAGCCTGGAATCTCTCTCTTTTGTGGTCACTAGACTTCATTCCCATGCTTGAAAAGTATGCAAAGAAGCAAACATGCACAATTGACAACTAGGGTTGTGCCTTTTCAGTTGGAATCTCACCCCATCTATGCAAAGAAGCAAAGATGCACAAGATATGTGTGCAGAAGCCAGTGTCTGGTCTCTTGGATTCTCCTGGACTTGCTTGCTCCCAGACACCCATACACACATTTGGTGCAAGGCAGATTTAGGGAATAGAGCAAGTGGGCTGGAGTCTGGGAAGCTGAGCCAGAGAACTATGAGGGTTCTCCCACTCCCAAGCTGACTTCCCAGCACTTTCCTGCTTCTAAGTAAACCTAAGCCAATGCAACTGTGTCCAATGCGTATTCCTTCCCAAAATAAGTGCATCTGAGAGAACAAGGAGTGAGAGGTTTTTCTTACCTTGTTGAGCCATTTGGGCCACTCGATGGCATCTTGGTCAATGGTGCATTTGCGTCCAGACAACCCTCGCCTTTCTATGCTCCCAACTTTCACTCTTTCAACAGAGCTGTTGGGAAACTTCACCCAGTTGACAACGTCCAAGTCAGCTGCCAGGTCACCCTTCTCATCCAAATACACTCCGTCCATGGAACGATTGTGAAACTGGGGACTTCTCAGGAAGGGGTGGAGCTGGAACAGGAGAGAAACCACCAGCCCTGAGGAAAGATGAAGCCATGCTGGATCCCCCAGTTTTTCCCTTTTTGCTCAGGGCTGGCTCTGGACTGAAGCGGCTGGTGTGTCTTTTCCCATGAGCAAGTGCCCTGATTTCCTCCCAGAATGCCCTTGGTCTGCTTTAGGAGCTTGGCAGGAAGCCTTCTTCTATACTTATGCAAACCTGTTCTGGAATGTGGACCAGATCTTACACTTATGGAGAGTGATGCCAGGCTCTTCAAGGGTCAGGTCCCAGCATTCCTTGGAAAGCACGCAGTTGTCAATCTGTACAGACGTACCCACAAGTTACTTCAAGTGAAGGCTCACAAAGGAGTGTAATGGAAAGATCACATGAGGATTATTGGTGGGAGAGCTTTACAAACTTGCCTGAAAATCAGGCATTACATTATGCAATTCAAGAAGGGTTATCTTCTGAATACCGATGATAACTTGATTACAAAATGTGATTCAGGAGATGGGAGATTTTCAATTTGGACAATAAAATGTTCTGAACATGACAAAGTAGGCAGCTCATGAGCCTACCTGTAAAACTAGATGGGTGACGTGCCCTAGATACAAACTCAGATGGTGGGAGAACCCACACTCAAACGCAGAGCATGGGTGTATTGAAGATTGTCACTGAACAGTGGGCCATTGCTGAAACATAGATTATCATGGATTTTCAAGTAGTCTGGACCCAACTGTAATAACCCACGAAGCAGCACTGTGACATCTTCACCATGGTTTGATATGTCACTTAGTTTCAGGGAACCTACGTTCCTGCAACAAGTGACAATTCCAGCACAGAACTGTTGTGGCTAGGCGATGTTGTTGGAGCCAAATTAATCAATTAGCTCGATGGACCTGAGCAAAGGGCCCTATGACTCCTCACCCTGCTCATGTGGTCTTGTGTATGATACATTCAGCAATGTGTTGTGGGTCCTGACAGATGAACTCCATCTTCTCAATCCAGCTATAGGAAAAAACTGAGAGAATCACATAGAGTATAGGCCAGATGGCAGGAATACCCTCCTGAATGTGCAGTCTCTTGTCTCGGTTTCTCGTAGTCCCTGTAGTGGCACAATTCATTATTAGGATTGTCAGAAAGGTCTGAAGTAGAATACAGAATACCTGCCATGGCTGAAGGCTTTGCACATCCAGCCTGTGTCCACCCTCAAGCTGCATCCGTTTGAATCTTGATTGTAAAGCAGCATCCACAGCCCGGGCCACAGCCTGGATGGTGCTGTAGGAGAAGAAGCTGTCCAGAGAGAGCACTCGCTGCACCACATATCTGGGTGGGGCTTTCCCTTTCCCATTTTCTCTGCATCTTGTCCACCCTTTGATGGAAACAACATGCTTTACATAGGAACAATCAAATGACTTCTTCACAAATGCCTCCATAGCAAAGAAAAAGGGTGTAAAATCTTCATAGGTCATCTTTTTATTCATTTGGAGAATGAAGGAAAACAGTCCATGGATGTGTTGGAAAGCTAAGTTACAATATGTCAACTCCACAGAGAAATCCCACATTGCTGTAGTGATCCAGACTTTCCCTATGAGGGGTTTCATCCTTTTCACTTTTTGCTGCATAAAATGTATTCCAAGAAACAATGAACTTGTCTCTGCACAATAAACATACACATGGATTTGTTGTAGCATCTCAACTGAGCTTTGGCGGAGCACTGGATTTTTTGACTTCATGTTCGAGAAAGTGTATGAAAAAAAGACACAAATGCCATTCCTGAGGAGCTCAGGTGTCAAGGTTCTCAAGAACATATTTCCATTGTTAGTGTCTAAAGCAAAGAGACCAACCATGGTCCATCTGAAATGCAGGAGGAGTTTGACGATCCCCACGTACTGGACCCCTTCTCTGGGGAGCATGTGGTAGAGAAAAGGGGACTGGGCTTGATCACTCAGGACGTGAGAATCAAAAGCATAAGTCACCTGGAGAATTAAAAAAGAGACTGAAACATTCATTGCAGAATCACATTTCTTTTCCTCATCTCATAAGGCTACACCTCTGAACAAGTAATTATCTGTGTGAAACATTCCACTAGAAACTTCCCTCCTTCCTTCCATTCTGAAAAATTGAATGCTTAGCCCACCTAAGGGTAAAACACCAAAAAAACAAAACAAAACAACAACAACAACAAAAAGGTTGAATTCAGGTGCATCTCCTCAGCTTCCACAGTGGAAGAAAGTTCCTAATGAGCATCCCACTTTTCCAGCAGGTGCTCTAGGCTGTGTTCCAAAGGATGATCTTGCAAAGTATATTCATTAGCTTTACCTCCTGCTTTTTTCTTATGAACTCAGAGGGGCTCACAGGATTTTCCTCCTGCTTCCCTCAGTCTTAACTCCTGCACCATGCTGGCTCGCAAAGGTTGCCTTGCTTCCCGTCCCTGGTGCCTGCAATGGGGCCTTACCTCTGTGAGCTCTGTTCATGAGCTGTGGTTAGTGCATGGGACTGGGACTCGGGCAAGCTGGGTTCTAGTCCCCACTCAGCCATGGAGACAACTGGGTGACAGAACCTCAGTCACAGAATCTCAGTCCAACCTACCTCACGTTGTTGTTGTGGGGATAAAAGTGAGAGCAGGAGGGGGATAATTAGGTAAACTGATTTGAGTTCTTTGTAAGAAAAAAGCAGGATTTAAATTGAGTGAGTAAGCACAAAGAGGCCAGAAATGTAGCCATGATGCTGTTTTCATCATTTGCCAATCAGGTCAGAATTTTTCCTTCAAAATGGACAACATTGGCCTAGTTTGTAGAAAAGGATGCTTGTACGAGGAATGGTGGGGGCCTATAACACCTTGCAACCCACTCTTGATTTGTCGTTATGTGTCATTAAGTCATCTCTCATTTTGGGAAAGCATATGAATGAAAAAACTTCAAAATGTCTGGTCCATGACAGCCTTGCTCAGCTCTTCCAAATTCAAGATTAGGTGTTTCTTTCTTCACCTTCTTTTGGCTTTCCTTAGCAGCTCTTGCTCTAGATTGCCTATATTCACGGCATGGGAAAAACCCACTGAGGTTCTATGCAAAACATCTTGAGTTATCCTACTAGAAATGTCAAGTAAAGCTAGAGGGGACCAGAAAAGGTTTTACCCACACCTGCCCAATTTTGTAGATACTCAGCATATTTGATATTTGCTTGGAGTTTTCAGAGTCTGATTCATCAAGGGCGGCCATGAGTTGCTGCTGTCTGCCACATTTGTAGTTGGGAACTTGAGCCTGTCCAGCTGAAAGCAGGTCAATAGTTGCATCGGAAGTCAGTATCACATTGCTATAGCTGTCATGGATGTTATATCCCAGGGTGATGTTGGGCAAGAGCCTGGGATTCTGGTTGATTTCCCGAATGGCAAAAAAGAGGGAGAGGATCTTCCAGTAAAATGTGGATCCATAACTGGGGGGAAAAAAGCAGATGTGTCATGTCACTACCTCATCTACAACATAGTCAGATGTTCTTCAGTTGTTCTCCTGGACATACATGCATACATATATACTTTTATGAGCACCATATTTCCACAGCTTTCTACATACTGACATATTTCCCAAATCAAAGAAAAAAGCAAAATGCTGATGGGAAGGAAGGAGGTTTCTGCATTGCTGACCACGTTTTCCTCATGCTGGCTGGTTCCAGACAATACTGGCACTGTGTGACAAAATAACTCCCACACTTAGCTGTCCATGCACTTTGCCTTATCACCGAACCAGGATGTTTACTTACTCCTGCCGTCCATTAGAGGCAGCTTTCCTGAAAGTGTGTGGAAGAAACTTGGCATGTGCTGCAGAGATGGCCGCAGAAATGACATAGTCCCCTGGCCTGTAGAGATTCAGAGGCTGAAACTCATCCCTGTCCCAGCTCCAGGGGCATCTGGCCCTCAGCATCCCACTGGAGGTCTCTGGAAGCAGCAGCAGCAGCAGAAAGAGCAGAGTCATTCTGGTTCTGCCAGGGATGGCCTTCTTCTTGCTTCCCCACCGAGGAATGATGAGAAAAAGCAGGAGCAGTCAAAGCCCCCTGGCAGAGCGAGGCTTCACTGGTTCTTGAGACAGGCACGGAGACCAACCCAAGGCCTCCCTTGAGGGGGAAGAGCAGGAGCAACCTGCACCAAGGTCTTGTTGCCTCCTTTGAAGCTCTTCCCCAGCTCTTGGTGGAAGGAGAGGCCTTTGTGTGCCTTCCATTTTATGGCTGGATGCTGGATGGCACCATCTCTGGCTCCAGAATCCCATGTTTACAATGCTGATCTCAAGGGTGGTGCTTTTGGGGAGGGGCTCCCAAGAGCTTTAGCAAGAGTACCAGTAAAGCACTATGATTTCCATAAGTATAGGGTCACAAAGATGAGACACCTCTGCAACTTCCCATTCTCTCTGTATTGTTCTATGCTCAAGTTCACGGCTGGAGAAAAAGATGTTTTTGCAAATGCATGGATGCTGCTCTTTCAAATGAACCAGGATTGAGAGACTGTTTTGCATATGGAACAGGACTAGAATAGCTGATTTGCTATCTGTCACTCCTGCCCCCACCAGTACTTCCCAGGTCGTCAGACAGATTCTCATATTTAGGAAGAAAATTTGGCCCTGAAAAATGGTTTCTCTGTGCTTTCCTGCTTCTTTCTGGAGAGCTGGCCAAGGTCCCCAGAGGTACAACTTGGGCTCTGCTCGCTCATGCCAGTGCCATCTTCACAAGGCAGAATAATTGTCCTGTGCCACCAATACTGCCCTCCATGGATGGGACATGTTCTGCTTTTGCCCAATGGTTGCACCAGCAGAGCCAGCTGCAAAGGTCAGCAAGAGTGATAGTCTTGAATGAAGGAAATATCCCTTCCCAATGCCTGCCGGACTCCTGCCAAATGGACTTGTGGCAGGGGCCATTTTCACCTCTTTCCTCTTCTTCCTTCCTATATTTTTCTTTCAGTTTCTTCCACTTCCCATTCTCCCATGCTTTCCTCCTTTTTCCTCCTTTGCATGCTGGGACTGCATGTGTCCAGCATCAGTTCAATGCAACATGGGCAGTGTTAGGATATAAGATGTATAAAGGCAGAACCAGAACCATATCTGCTCAACCTAAGTAGAGGAAGGCTAGATGTGTGTCTTTCTATGGGAACCTGTGCAGCTTGGTGGTCAGAGAGTTGCACTGGGACCTTTTTCGTTCCCATGAGTGTGTTAACAGCGCCCCCTGGCTGCTCTTAAGTGAACTCCCCCCCTGCACAAAAGTGGGTATGCAGGGCCTTGGGCTGCAGCTGCAACTGGGACCCTTTCTCCAATCATCTCTTTATCATCATCTGAGCTGTCAGTCCCGCTGGGAGAGGCAGCCCTTCCTGCACTCATCCCATCCTGGGATTGTGATTTGAAGTATATGAATAATGAGTACCCCAGTGTTTGTTGGAGATGCAACGAGCACATCCATACATATTTCCATATGTGGTTGAAGTGTAAATATACAAATCAATTTTGGGAAATGGTTTTCAAAGAAATTAGGAAAATACTGAATTTAAATATTAAAGCTGACCCTAGGTTAGCATTATTGTCTTTATTTACAGAACAGATGGGGAGAAATACTCAAGAATTGATGATAAATTTATTCACAGTAGTAACAGTGATAATAACAAGTAACTGGGAAATAAGAGGTGAATATCAAATCGTTGATTGGTATGAAGAAGTCTAGAATATAGGTGTTACTGATAAATTAACTTGAGATAATAGATGGAAAAAATGGTTTGATAAGTAAAAACAAATTTGAAAATCTTTGGAGGCCTTTTATTGAATATAACCCCAGTCCTCTATTAGCTCCATTGGCTTCCCATCAAAGTCCGGGTTCAATTCAAAATGCTGGTTATTACCTATAAAGCCCTAAATGGCTTGGGGTCAGGATACCTAAAGGAATGCCTTTTTCCCTATTTGCCCTCCTGCTCTTTGAGAAGAAGCCCTCCTCTGGGAACCCTCTGTGAAAGATATTAGGAGACAGAGTACCTGGAGGAGGGCCTTCTCTGCTGTGGTGCCCCAACTATGGAATATGCTCCCCAGAGAGGTCCACCTGGTGCAGTCAGTATATTTTTTTCAGTGCCAGGTCAAGACCTTTTTATTTAATCTATATTTTAATAAGTTTTAATATTCAATAGTATTATTGCATTTTATTAATTGCAGTCAGAGTGGGTCGTCAATTTATTTATGCTGTTAGCTGTCCAGAGACATTAGTAATTGGACGGCATACAAATTTTATAAATAAATACATATGTTTTAATGAAAGGAAAGGGGTTAGGGTTGAACCATCATGAGAGTAAGTGCAGTTATGGAAAGGAAGTGGGTCAACCTGAATGAATAAATGATTTTACAAAAAGTGACTTGATTTGTTGGTGGAGGTAGCACTGGTGTTGTTGCATTGTTTAATTATGCTTATTGATTAAAATAAATAAATTAAATAATGGTTATGTTCACTGTCATTATATAAACTGTATTGTTTTTGGTTCCACGGTCATGTTGTTCTGACAGTTTTGGAAGCTTTCCCGGATATCTACCCTGAAGATACTCTGAAGCATCTTCGAAGCTCTTGGGGGAGGGAGAGGCCTTTTTGTGCCTTCCCTTCTGTGCCTGGGTGCAAGGCGGAGCCTACGGTGACTCCAGACTCCCCTGGTGATCTTAAGAATGGTATTTTCAGGGAGGAGACCCCAAGCGTTTTAGCAAGAATACCAGTAAAGCATTATGATTTCCAAAATTGTATGGTCATGAATGTGGGAGACCTCTGCAATGTCCCAGAATCTCTAAAATTCTCTATGCACAGGTACAAGGCTGGAAAAAACCCATGGTTTGGAGGACTCTTGGATGCCACTCCTTTGAATGAACCATGATCGAGCGACGCTTTTGGGTGTGTGCTCTGTGATAAGCCTGGAATGGTTGAGCATCTGCATCAGGCAGTTCCTATTCCACCCCCACCCCCAGCATTTCCCAGGTTTTCTGAGAGAATATCATGCTTTGGAAGGTAATTTGGCCCAGCAAAATGTTTGCTCTTTGCTTTTCTTCTTCCTGTGTTTGCAGAGCTCAGCAAATCCCCCAAGGTTCAACTTGGGCTCTGCTAACTCATGGCATCTTCGCAAGACAGACTGGATGGGCTGGGCTATAGTTCCCAGCCATATGCAGCAGATGACAACTTGGATGCTGGAAAAGAGAATAACAGTGGAGTTGGCCAAAGTCTTCCCCAAGCAGTTTCTTGCCCTGTTCCCTGGCTTGGTGGTCAAGAAGGCCAAGACCACAGTGACTGTTTTAGCCAAGAGAGAAGAGACGGCAACTGAGAAGATGATGCTGAAGGCTGTTTGTTCCAGAAGGCAGGTGCCCTTGCTGGGCTGGCCAATGAAGAGGAAGGAGGAGGTGAAGAAAAGCAGGAGGATGACCAGAGGAATGTAGGAGAGGTCACAGTTGTTGCCTTTGACCACTGGGGTTTCTCGGAATTTAATGAAGATTCGTAATACAAGTCTTGTGAATAAGGATAGCATGAGGGCCATGGAAGCCAGGGAGATCCCAAGAGAATCTTCATAGGACAGGAAGGTGATCCCCTTGGGAGTACATTGATTTCGGTTCTTGATTGGATGCTGATCATCTGGACACCAGGTGCAATGGTCAGCATCTTGAAAGAGGAAAAAAAAAAAACTTCTCCCTTTCATCCTTAATGATCTCTGTCCATTCCATTTAGTGAAGCCTTTTGAGCAGGCAACCCTGGGAGCAGACATTGTTTCCTGCAGGCCCAGTCAGAGTTGCTGTGCTTCCTCATTCTCCCATATCAAGTACCCATATTCATTGGTTCCTGTGTTAAATATCCCAAATTGGGTACATGGAATGCATGGTCCAAATGCTTTCCTGGACTCTGAGGTTTTGCTCAGAGTCCTGCCCCTGGAATATTCCCCCTTCTCTTAGCCATCTTTTTATTTGAGACCTTACTGGGACTCCAGGCCTGAAAGGAACTTGAGTAAGGACTCAGATCCCTGGCTATGACACATTTGTGGGCCACATGCTCTGACTATGCTTCAAGGGACATACCTGCATGGTGGCTTCCCATTGGGCACTATGCTGTGTGGCTGAAGTGATGTGTTCAGAGAATCACAGAATCAGACAGTTAGAGAAAAGACATGTAAGAAGGAGAATGAGACCAGCGGTTCCAATGCCCTGCTCTTGCAGGATGTGGAGTTACACCATTCCATGCAGAAGACTGTCCAGATGATGTCCAGATCATGTTCCCCCTTAGTCACCCACCTTCCTGAGTGGAGATGGTCCCTTCTGGGCAGGGAATGCAGTCATAGCAGCAAATGGGCTTTCCTTCCTGAACCACTTTGAAGAATCCTGGGTGGCAGCTGTCCACCCACCTGGCCTTGGGCAGGGGCTGAGCACCAAAACAAGGACCACAAGGAAGATGTGTTAGAGCAGCTTCACTGGGGGAAAGGAGAGGCAGCATTGGATAGGACAGGAGAGAGGACTTCTAGGACTGAAGCTGATCCTGCAAGTCGGGTTTTGAAGATTGTTGTGGAATCCAACACTCGTGTGCCCAGAGAATTTGTTCTCATGCTTGGAAAGTTTGCAAACAGTGAACAAGCACAAGTAACATATGGAGATATATGTGCCAACCTCTTGGACTCTCTTGGACTTGCTTCCTGGCAGAGTTCCCCACAAACACTTGGTGCCGGGAAGATTTAGGACAGAAAGTGGCCTGGAGTCTGGGAAGCTGAGCTAGAGGCATCTGATGGATGGGATTCCATCCAGGTGGGGTTCCTCACACACTGCTTCCCTAAGTAAGCTGAAGCCCATGCAAATGAGTGCAATGATAATTCCCTCCCAAATACATGCATTTGACAGGAAAGAGAATGAAAAGTAGGCGTGATTTTCTTCACCTGGTTGAGCCATTTGGGCAACACGATGGCGTCTTGGTCAATAGTGCATTTGTGTCCAGACAACCCCTGTCCTTCTATACTTCCAACTTTCACTTTTGCAATAGAGTTGTTGGGAAACTTCACCCAGTTCATAATGTCGAAGTTAACAGCCAGGTCCCTCTTCTCATCCAAATATGACCCATCCATGGAATGATTGTAGAAATGGGGGCTTCCCAGGAAGGGGTGCAGCTGGAATGGGAGAGGAAGCACCAGCACTGAGGAAAGATGATGCCCCAGTGTTTTACCCAGTTCCCCTTTTTTGCTCAGGACTGGTTCCTCACTGAAGTGGCTGGTGTGTGTTTTCAAATGCACAAGTGCCCTGATTTCATCCCAGAAAGCCCTTGTTCTGCATAAGGAAGTTGGAAGAGGACGCCTTCTGCTATACACATGCAAACATCTTCTGGAAAGTTGGCCAAATCTTAGCCTGAGGGAAAGCGAGGATTCCTTGAAAAGCACCCAGTACTCAGGCTGTACAGACATACCTGGGAGTTCCTTCAACTGATTGCTCATAGAGAAGTGCTCCACAGATATCCCACGTGGCCAAGGGTGGGAGACAATCTGAGTATCTTGCCATAGGCATTCGTTTGCACAACTCAATTAAAGCTCTGTTTTCAGCACAGAATGGCTGTCATCTGGATGGCAGTGATAACTTGAATACAAAAATGTGATTCAGGAGATGTGAGCAGTTCAATTTGGGCAATGAAAAATTCTGAAGATAACAATGTAGACAGGTGGTGGACCCACCTGGACAACTAGATGGGCATCCAGCACTACATACAAAGTCAGAAGGTATGATAGCCCACAATCAAAGGCTCATTATGGGTTGGATGCTTTTCCTGATGTCCAGGCTGAATCTGCCTGCAACCTGAACTGATTATTCTTTCTCCTACATTCTGGCATTAGCAAGAAAAGATTTTGACCTTCCTCTTTGTGACAGCCTTTGAGGTACTTCTAGAGGGATATCCTGTCCCCCCTCAGTCTTCTCTTCTCAAAGCTGGACGTGCCCAGTTCCCTCAGTCTCTCCTGAGAGGGCAGTGTTTCCAACCCCTGCATCAATTTTGTCACCCTCCACTGGATCCTTTCTAATTTATCAGCATCTTTCTTAAATCTTGGTGCCCAGAACTGGACACACTATTCCAGGTGAGGTGTGACTAGTGTGGAGTATTGAGGAACTACTACTTCTCATGATCTGGAAGTAATACTTCTGCTAATGCATCCCAAAATTGCACCTGCCCTTTTGGTGTCTGCATCCCATTGTTGACTCATGCTTAGCCTATTGTCCACAGTTACTCCAAGATCTTTTTCTCATTCAGTTCTGCTGAACCACATATTCCCCATCTTGTATCTATGCATTTGGTTTCTTTTTCTTAGGTGGAGGACTTGGCATTTGTCTTTATTGAATTTCAGCAAGTATGTAACTGAATATGCAACATCTCATCTCAGTTGCTTGTAGTGTCTGCACTTGTGCAGTTAACTCTTATTGTGGGAATTCATTGCTGGGTCATGCTGTACTCACGTAAGCCACGAAAACCAAGAGTATTGTAATTTACCTGTGTAACCATATAAGGCTTGTAACCATATAAGGCTTGTAACCTAAGCATTAAGGTGTTGGCTGCTTTTACTCGAAGGCCAATTGGCAGTATGCAAATACCTATGTAAAAAGTGTGAAGTAATAAAAGCAGATGCCTGTGGTGAGCGGGGGAGAGAAGAAAAAACTTTGGGAGAAGAAGTTCTTTGTTGTTCTCCCCCTGCAACTAAACCGAGCATGCTTTGTAACTGATCTCTGGACTGCAGTCTTTCTTTCTTTCTTTAAACTTTTTCGCGCCATTTGTCCAGGCTGGCTGGCTGGCCGGCCAGCTCGCGACACTTATGCCCATCAGGAAGGTCTGATATGGAAAAGTGAATACATGCCATGGCTTGAGTCTTTGCACATCCGGCCTGTGTCCTCCTGCAACCTTCATCTTCTTGAATCTGGAAGAAAGAACCGCATCCAAGGCTCGGGCCACAGCCTGGATGGTGTTGTAGGAGAAATAGCTGTCCAGAGAAAGTGTTCTCTGCACCTCATCTCCTCTCAGGGCCTCCCCTTTCCCGTTCTGTCTGCATCTTGTCCACCCTTTCACGGACACCGCATGCTTTGTATAGGAACAATCAAATGACTTCTTCACAAATTCCTTCATAGCAAAGTAAAGGTGTAAGTAACACTCATGATCGATCCTTTTATTTGTCTGGAGAATGAAGGAAAAAAACCCGTGGACATGTGGAATATATAGATTTCTAAATGCAAACTCCAGGGTAAAATCCCACATTGCTGTGGTGATCCAGACCTTTCCTATGATGGATTTCATCATTTCCAAATATTGATGCACAATACGAATTCCAACTAGCAACCAGCTAATCTCTGCATAATAAAGAAAAACATGGATTTGTTCCAACTTCTGAAATGAAAATTGATGGAGCACTACATATTCTGATTGTATTTCTGAGAATGAGTATGAAAAAAAGACACAGAGCCATTCCTGAGGAGCTCAGGTGTCAAGGTTCTCAAGAACATATTTCCATTATCAGTGTCGAAAGCAAAGAGCCCAACCATGGTCCATTGGAAATGTAGCAGGAGTTTGACGATCCCCATGTACTGGACCCCTTCTCTGGGGAGCATGTGGTAGAGAAAAAGGGGACTGGGCTCGATCACTCAGGATGTGAGAAGCAAAAGCATAAGTGACCTGGGGAAGAAAGGAAGAGACTGATGAATTCATTTCCAAACCATATTTTTCCCCCTTAGGCTCATGCAGCCACATCTGTTAAGAAGGAATTATATGTGTGAAACATTCAACCTTTCCCTCCCTCCTTCCTGAAAACTCAAATGTTTAGGCTTCATAAGTGTAAAACACTGAAAATGTATGTCCCAAAAATGTGGAATTCAGGTGGCTCTCCTAAATTTCCACAGTGGAAGAAAGCTCCCAATGATCATCCCACTTTTCCAACAGGTTTGCTAGGCTGTTGTTCAATGGATGAACAATCAGAGTATGTTCATTAGCTTTATATCCTGCTTTTTTCTTATAAACTTGAAGCAGCTTACCTCATTCTCCTCCTGGTGCTCTCAAACTTATCCCCAAAATAAACAGTATGTGAGGTAGGCTGGGCTGAGAGTCTGTGACTGGCCCAAAGACACCCAGTTAGCTCCATGGCTGAATGGGGACCAGAACCCAGGTCACCTGAATCCCAGGCCCACGCTGTCTACTGCTACTGCACACTGGCTCCCTTAAGTTACTGCCTTGTTCCCCCTCCCTGGTGTTCCCAAGTGGTCCTTAATTCTCTGAGCTGTGTGGATGGAGAAGGCACAGGAAGCAGCCATGATGTTGCTTACATGGCTTGCTGATCAGGTCAGGATTTTCCCTTCAGAACAGACATTGGCCGAGTGTTGTAGAACAGGATGCTCATGGGAGGCATGTTGGGGGGCTTTAGCTCTTGGAGTGTTGCTGCTATGTGCCTTTAAGTCATCTCTTCCTTCTGGGAGCCCTGTGAAGCAAAGTCCATGAGGTCCTTGTTCAAGGCTCTAGCTTTCTTTATGCAGTCCACCCATCTCTTATTTGACCTTCCTTTTCCTCTTCTGCCTTTGGCTGTCCCTAGCAGCTCTTGATTTAGACTGCCTACGTTCATGGCATGCAAAATACCACTGAGGTTCTGTGGAAAACATGTTGATTTATCCTAGCAGAAATGCCCAGTATAGTTAGATTGCACCTCAAAATGTTTTCTGCACACCTGTCCAACTTTGTAAATGCCCCACAGATCTGAAATCTGCTTGGAGTTTTCAGAAACTGATGCTTCAAGGATGGCCACCAATTGATGCCGTCTGCCACACCTGTAGTTGGGAACATGGGCCAGAGCAGTCAAAAGCAGGTCTATGGCTGCATCAGAAGTCAGTCCAGTATTTTCATAGCTGTCATAGATGTCATAGCCCAGGGTGATGTTGGGCAAGAGCCTGGAATTCTGGTTGATTTCCTAAATGGCAAATGAGAAGGAGAGGATATTCCAGTAATCCTGGGTTCCTAAACTGGGAAAAAAAGCAGATGTGTCATGCCATTATCCCATGGGCTAGAAATTTAAATGTTCTTTGGCTGTTTCTTTCATAGTTCTCATAAATGCATGCATACATATTTATATGGTCAGCATATTTCTATGGCTTTCTACAAACTGACTCATATCCCAAGGCAAAGCCAGGAGCAAAATTCCAACGGAAAAAGGAGGATCCCTCTTTACTGCGGACCATGATTTCTTCGGGCTGGCTGTTCCTGACAAATGCAGGCTTTGCATGACAAAACTCCCCCACCCCACCCATATCTAGCTGTCCATGTGGTTTTCCCCATCATGTGAACCAGCTCAGTAACTTACTCCTCTTGCTCATTGGAGGCCGGCTTCCTGAAGGTGTAGGGAGGAAAATCAGCATGTGCTGCAGAGATGGCTGCAGCAATGACATCGTCTCCTGGCCTGTAGTGATTCTGGGGGTGGAGTTCATCTGTGTCCCAGCTCCAGGGGCACCTGGACTTCTGCATCCCACAGGGGGCCTGTGGCAGCAGGAAGAGCAGCATCATTCTAGCTCTGCCAGGCATGGCTTCCTTCTTGCTTCTCCACCAAGCAATGATGAGAAGTGGCAGGGGCAGCTAAAGCTCCCTGGTGGAGGGAGGCTTCACTGGTTCTCCTGATAGAGACGGAGCCCCAGCCAATGCCTCCCTTGGGCAGCAGGAACAGAAGTCACTTGTGCCAAGGCCTCATGTCCTGCTCTGAATCTTCTCCCAAGCTGTCAGTGGAAGGGGAGGCATGAATGTGCCTTCCTTTTGTGCCAGGATGCACAGCAGCACCCCATGGGGCTCCGCAATTCCTTGTATGCAATGCTAAACTCATGGGTGGTTTTTTCAAGGAGGGCATCACAAGAGTTTTAGCAAGAATTTGAGTGAAGCATTATGATCTCCATAATTATAAGGTCACAAATGAGGGGGCACCTCTGCAACTTCCCGAGCTCTCCGAATTGTTCTATGCACAAGTACTGCACTGGAGAAAATCATGTTTCTGAGAATGCATGGATGCTGCTCCTTCAAGTTAATCAGGATAGAGGGATCTTTTTGTATGTGTTCTCTGGAGTAGGACCTGAGCAGGATCTGAGCCACTCCATCACACAGTCGCTACATCCCCACTGCTCCATGCCAGTACTCCCCAGGTTGTCAGGTGCAATTGTATATTTAGTAAGGGAATTTGGCCCCCCAAAATTGTTTCACTGTGCTTTTCTGCTGCTTTCTGTAGGGCTCACCAAGTTCCCCAGAGGATCAGCTTGGGCTCTACTAGCTCATACCACTGCCATCTTCATAAGCAGAGAAATGGTCTCTGTGCCACCAATACTGCACTCCTGAGTTGGGACACCCTCTGATTCTGCCTAAAGTTGTCACCAGCAGAGCCATCCACAAAGGTCAGCAAGAGTGATAGTCCTGGCTGGAGGAACTGTCCCTTTCGAAATCCTGTCAGGCTTATGCCAGATGGCGTGGTGGCAGGGGACATTTGGACCTCTTCTTTCCTCTTCTCCTCACCTATTTTTCCTCTTGAAAACATATTCCTTCCTGCAGTATCTTCCAGTGCCCATTCCTCAGTGCATGCATCATTTACTCCCATTTGTCTCTCTGTGTGTGTGTGTCTGTGCATGCGTGTGTGCGCATGCATGTGCTGGGGCTGCATGGGTCCAGCATCAGTTCACTGGGACATGGGCAGTGTTAGGATAAAGATGTGTACAAGCAGGACCAGAGTCATATTTGCCTAGGTGTTTGTCTGCCTATGGGAACCAGTAAGTCATGGAGATCTGCGAGTTTCACTGGGATCTGAGTGACCACAGTTCTAGTTTCCTCCTCTAGCAATGCGAGGTAGTGGAGAGCCAGAATCTCTGAAGAGACGGGAGCAAAAGATATGGGATAGCAATGCCCATGTTTCCCATATCTGAAGGGCTTTCTCTTGCCTGGGAGAGGGTGCTTGACTGAAGAGCTTCTAGCTCTTTCGAGGAATGGGAGCAGGGCACCGCAGCTTCACTGAGAGGAACACACACACACACACACACACACACACATGTCTTTTGCCCTGTAGGATTTCTTTGGATTTCCCCAGCAATCTAACCACACAGTTATTATATTGACTGTAGCATCAAAGTACAAGGGAGACCTGCATTTTTCAGCAGCGCCTTTGGTGGCAAGAAGGTGCCTGTCCTTGAAGAGGCACACTCCCTTCTCTCAATGCCCCTCTGCCATCTACCTTGCCTTGATCTGATGAGATTGCCTGAGAGATCCCATCTGAGAACCATTTGCCTTCATGGCCCCAATCTCCTGCCCCCTTCTGCAGGGTACAAATACTTCTGTCTTTGGCTAAGATGCCCCATTTCTGTCCTGTCTATATTTGCAAGCTTGCCTAGCCCTCCCATGGCCGTGGGTCATAGATTTTCTTGAAGCAGCATCTGCCAGTGGCAACCGTGTACCAGAGTGATTCTTCAACGCTTTCCTGTCAGATCGTGTGCTTGACCAGTTCATGTTGCCAGTCCTCCATCAGTTGCGTTGGTTGCCAACTGAAATCCAGGCCCACTTCAATGGTTTAGGACCTGCATATCCAAAAGAACATCTCCATCCATATAAATCTACCCAGACCCTGGTAGGCATTCCTGCCTCAGGACCTGCCCTCAAAGGAATCTAGCAAGGGGGCTAGCTGGGGCAGGGACTTCTTTCTGCCCAAGGCAGAAAGCAAGGGTGGAGGGGTCACATCAAACCAATGTTGTTCAGAGGTGGTTGCAGGCATTAGTGCGTGAGAAGAGGAGAAGAAAGTCCAATCTCTGAAGCTGTGGAGGAAAGCATGGTGAAATCTGCCTTAAGCCCAAGTCCCTGTATGCAGAATCCAGGCCCACATCTTCTCAGTGTATGGGGCTGTTGTCCTGTTGGCCTTCAAGGTCTCCATGTTCCTGGCTATCATCATAATTTCATTTAGCCAATGCCATCCTTGAAACATGCATGTGTGATGAAGCACATTCTTTAATCAATTTTGGGTCCTTTCCATTCAGAACCACTTGGTTTGAAACATAGAAACTGAGCGAGTGAGTCCAATGGCCCTCCCAGGCCATCTAGTCTGACCTCTGGCTCAGGCCGGCTCCGCTCATGACATGCCTACCATGTGCATGTCCAGCCCATCTTTGAACACCCTCACCAATGGGGCATCAACCACCTCCTGTGGAAACCCTTTCCATACCCTTGGGGTCTTAAATGTCAGTAAGTCCTACCTGGCATCCAAATTGAACCTTGGTTCCCTGAGCATGGCTGAGCACAGGGTGACCAAGATAGTTTCTGTTGCAAGTCAGACCTCTTTATTCAAAAGTTATTTTAATTGTTAATATTATTTATTTATTTTATTTTTTGGCCAGGGCAACTTAAATTATACTGTTAAATTATACTATGTTATTTATTTATGATTGTGAGCCGCCCCGAGGCTTTGGCAAATGAGGCAGCATATAAGTTCTCTAAATAAATAAGTAACTAAGTACGTAAGTAAAGAAAGAAAGAAAGAAAGAAAGACTGACTGAAGTAGAATTGGGCTTGGAAGCATATTGGCAGCCCAACCATATGGGCCAAAATGGGTGTGATATGTTCAGGTCGTTGGGTCCCTGCTATTAGTCATCTCTTGTTTTGTTTTATTGCTCTCAGCTCTGGGCATACCGAGCAGCCATATCAGCTGAACCACACAGAGTGTGCTCAGGTACGATTGTACCAACTGTCCAGTCAAGGTATTTCACCATGGTCAGTTTAGTGTTTAAAAACCATGATGAGAAACAAGGGTTTGTTCTAGGGTTTACCTGCACCACTGTGGCTGAGCAGGTTGTCTGAACCCAGAATTGTGGTTTTTTTACTGTGCTGTTATGCAGCTACCATAGAGTCCCCTGGAAGGAGCGGCAACTGCAGAATCTGCTCCAGGCATCCAACTTCTCATGTGCAGTCTGGGAGCAATGCAGCTTGGGGTGGAATTCAGGGGCAGTGCTTATGGGAGGTATGCCACCAATGGGAGGACTGAGCTGGGAGAATGGAAACCAAAATCAAATTGAAAGCACTTGATTGTCTGTCAAGAAGAACAAAGCACTGTGAGCTGCGGTAACCATACTGGGTGGCTTGGCTTTCTGGATGAACCCAGTTTTCATATAGTATAGGCAGGAGGGAAAAGTTCCCTGCTGAGCGTCTGCTTTTGCATTAGCAATTTAAACCCATGGCCTCCTCACAAGGGAAACTTGTCAGGCACTTGAATGACAAAAATCCTGGGTTTGATGGACTTTTGAGTTGATTTTCCACACAGAGAGACTTCTGTGTTGCTCACAGGATTTCAGCAGCAGGAGACGAGGGCAACATCACCCTGCTGCCCACCTCCCTAGAAGCTCATGAACATAAGCTGACTCCTCCGATAGCGGAGGTAACATAGAGTGATCAGCGGCCACTGGTAGCCTTCTCTTCCAGGAAAGTGTCTCATCCCCTTTGAACATCATCCAAATTGGTGGCCATCACAACATCTCCTGGGAGTGCATCATGGTTTAACCCTATGCTGTGTGATGTCCTTCCTTTTCCTTCTCGCACCCACTCACTGGCAAGAAAGAAGGAAGATGCCAGATTTTTGAGATATGAAATCAACAGTTTCAAGGTGTTTGTGTGTGATGAAAAAGACTGAAGAGGGTTATGGCATCTGAGCAGGGTTGGGGGTGTTGATGCTCCAGTGCAGAAATGGAGCATTCAGTCTTAGAGAATTCAGTCAAGCAAGAGTTTGGCTGATCAGCTTGACAACCCAGCCGTCAAAAGACGAAGCACAGCCAGGGTAGAAGGCCACAGACTCACAGTTTACTTGCAACCAACCAGCTTGCTGATTTTCAAAGACTATGCAATATGTCACCAGCAGATCAAAAATGAGTACTGAATTTACTATTCCACTAAAATTAAGACACAGTTGCATTGGAGCTACTTCAGCAGGGAGTGTGTCTTCTTTTGGCTGAAAACATGCAAGGAAAGGGCACCTCTCCAATCCTATGATTATTCTTGACTAATATTGTCTTCATGGTGATCCACAGTAAATGGGAGAATTGGAATGGGGTCGGAAGCAAAGTAATCTGCATTCTTAACGCTAAAGTCTTTATAGTGGGGACACGGAAAAGATGTGTGGGACAAGATATTCAATCATCTGTGAAGAGATGCCTCCACTAATGAGGTCCTCTCAAAGCAATTTGAAGGTTCCTTTTGATGCCTCCTTAGAGAGGGGGACACATTACATTCCGCATTGGGCAAACCGCCCTAGCCAGCAGCAGCAGAAGAAGCAGCAGTGCCATGAGGATCATTCTGGATGTGTCGACCCAACTCCCTTCACCACAGCTCATCTCATCTCGAAATCTGCTTGATCAATACAAGGCTGCTGTGCCTTGGCTGTGTACAGACCAGTCTGTACTTTATAGCCCACAGGAAAGCCTGTTCCTGTGTGGATGGTGAGAAGATATGGATGGTCCTGAAAGATAAGGGTGTGCCACAGCATTCAGTTGTCTTGATGCAGAACTTGTACTATGGGCAAGAAAATACTGCGATGAGAGAACATGGGGAAACAAATTTTTTTGCTGAGGGAAAAGGGATTGCACAAAGATGTCTTTGATCACAAGGAAAGCTGGATTAGGATGCAAGACAGGAGTGAAAATTTGAGGGAAGATGCTCCACTGATTTAAGATATGTAGCTGATGAAGGACTCCAGGGTGTTATGGTCAGGGTATTTGGGAGGGCTTTCATTCATAAGGGCACCACAAGTTAAAGAAGACTTGATGGCACATCACAACATCACTAACAGGCACCATTCAAAGCCAGAGTGAAATGTCAAAGAAAAAACAGGCCTACTGGGATTGCAGAAGCAAATGCCTCCTCTGGAAAGCATTTTCTCTGCTGGATTGGAATGAAATCTCCCTTTTCAAAGTAAAGCCTTTCGAAAGAGGAATAGCTCAATACCGGGGTGTTCGGTAACAAGTCAAATCATACTTCAACATGAGATTTCGTCAAGAGATGTCCCTTTATGTTCAGTTCAGGCATCCATGCGATAATGTAGCATTTGGGAAGAAAGATGCAGCCCAGCAGCCCAGTGCTGGAGGCCAGGATGGAGAAGACCTGCACGGCCACCATGTACTTCCCTTTGGTGCTCAGGTAGGTGGGCACAAAAGATACCCAGACACTGCAGAAGACCAACATGCTGAAGGTGATCAGCCTGGCCTCATTGAAGGCCCCAGGCAGCTTCCTAGCGAGGAAAGCCACCATGAAGCAGATAGCAGCCAGGAAGCCCATGTAGCCAAGGACTGTGTAGAACATGGCCACAGACCCCTCATTGCACTGCAGAATGATGTGTCCAGGCTGGGAGTGCATGTCTGAGTCAGGAAAGGGAGGAGAGATTACCAGCCAGATGAAGCAGATGACTGCTTGGATGCTGGAATACACAATGACGATGGAGTTGGCCAAAGGCTTCCCCAACCACTTTCTGGCCCTGTTGCCTGGCTTGGTGGCCAAAAAAGCCAAGACCACGGTGATTGTTTTAGCTAGGAGAGAAGAGATGGCAACTGAGAAGATGATGCTGAAGGCTGTTTGTCGCAGGAGGCAGGTGACCTTGCTGGGCTGGCCAATGAAGAGGATGGAGGACAAGAAGGAAAGCAGGAGGGCGACCAGAAGAATGTAGGAGAGGTCTCGGTTGTTGGCTTTGACCACTGGGGTTTCTCGGAATTTAATAAAGATTCCTAACACAAGGCCAGTGAATAGGGAGAGTATGAGGGCCATGGAAGCAAGGGAGATCCCAAGAGCTCCTTCATAGGACAGGAAGGTGATCACCTTAGGGGTACATTGAGTTCGGTTCTTGTTTGGATGCTGATCATCTGGGCACATGGCACAATGGTCGGCATCTGGAAAGAGAAAAAGAAATGTGTCCCTTTCATCCTTAGCAATCTCTGTTCTTTATTTTTAGTCAAGGATTTTGAGAAGGTAACCCAGGGAGATGGCACTGCTTTCCTGCAGGCCCAGTCTAATTTTCTGGGCTTCCTCATTCTGCCATGCCAGCAACCCGGATTCACTAATTCCTGGGTCTACAATTCAAAGTTGGGTATGGAAAATCCATGGGTCAAAGCCTTCCTAGACTCCTTATGAGGTCTGGTTAACGCATCTTCCTCTTGACTATTCCCCCTTCTCATAGCCAATTTCATTTACAACCACATCTGGGCATACAGGCTGAAGCACTCTCACTTCTCTGGCTGTGTCTCTTTTGCAGGCCTTGTATTCTGCCCATCTGTATGATGTCTGAGAGGTGAGCTCCAAGGGACATCCCTGGACAGAGGCTTGCCTTTGGGCACCCTGCCATATGGCTGAAGTGTTATGTTCAGAAAATCACAGGAGAGGTGGCAGGACCCAGAGGACCATGGGGTCCATGATCTTGATTTTGCGACAAATGAAGTTACTCCATCCCATTCTGACATATGGCAATGATGCCATACAAGGATCCCTTCAACTCTTAGGATCACCATGCCTCCCCTTTCACAGCGTTCTGCTCCCTGCCCTCAGCGAACACCTCACTTGCCAGGAGCATGTTTTTCTACACTGTGTCCCTCCCAGAAACATCCATGAGAAGATCCCAATGGTGGCAACCAGAGGTTGCCAAAGCCACACTTGCTCAACAGAGTTCGCCTCACACAATGCAGGGCATTGTCCCTTGGGGGAACTGGGGAGACTGCTGTGGGTGGCTGTGTAGCACAAGTGAAGGGAGGTAGGAGACATCCCTCTTAAGAGGTTTCAAGGTGTTGAGGAGGTCACAGCAAAGAAAAAGAAATGTGTTCTGGACATACAGAATGACCAGGCAGTTTTAAATCAGGCAAGGGGTGGAGCTGGAGCAGGAGGTGGGGAAACATCCCACCAGGAGCCAGCTAAGGCAAACAAGACTCCTAATGTGCAGTGAACCAGTAGCAAACAGGGCTGCTGATGCGTTGCTGGGTCAAGGGACCATGGGAGGCCCAGCTTGCAATGTGTGCTGTTGTCAGCAGGAGGACTGGAGAAAAGGAACTGCAGCAGTTTTTGACAATGAGCAGGGTTCTCTGCAAGCTGCATCATTCCTTAGCAAGATGTTCCAGACTGCCCAGTGCTTTGGAGGATCACTCCTTCCTCCGCAGTGGCTGGACGTTCCTCCTTACCCACCTTCCAGAGTGGAGATGGTCCCTTCTGGGCAGGGAGCGCAGTCATAGCAGCAAATGGGCTTTCCTTCCTGAACCACTTTGTAGAATCCCGTGCGGCAGCTCTCCACACACCTGCCCTTGGGCAGGGTCTGAGCACAAAAGCAAGGACCACCAAGAAAATGTGTTAGAACTATATCAGTTTGGGAATGGAGATGCAGGTTTGGAATGGACAGATTTCTAGAAATCAAGCTGATCCTGCAAGTAAGTTGTGAAGATTGCACTTCACAAGGATGGGGAAAAGGTCCTTTGGAGACGCTCTAGCGAGCTTCTTCTGGAAGACTTTACACTGAGATGGGGGGGGGGGTTCAGGCCCCCCAGAAATGTGTCTGCACTGGACAAGTGTGGGGAGTGGATCAGGGCTCTGGGAGCAGGGTTTTAGGGGTACTGCAGGGATTGGAAGGACTCCTACTGAGAGAGGCCAGGTATCAGGAGGATGGGAGGAAGGAGGAGGGTGGGGACTCCAATGAAAGGAAGCGGTGGGAAGGAGTTGAGGTGCATGTACACCAATGCTAGAAGCATGTGTAACAAGCAGGAAGAGCTTGAAGTTCTGCTGGGAATAGGAGGCTATGACCTGTTGGGGATCACAGAAACTTGATGTGATGAAAGGCAAGACTGGAATGTGAACACAGAGGGGTATCACTTTTCTAGAAAGGACAGGAAGGAAAAGAGGGGTGGGGGCATGGCTTTATATGTCAGAGAAGGGACATGGAGCAGTGAGATAGAATGAAGCGCAGATGGGGATTTGGTAGAGGCCATCTGGGTGAAACTTAGAGGTTTTGAAAGGAAAAGAGACCTGACAGTGTGGGAATGTTATGGTCCTCCAGGTCAACTTGAGACCCTGGATGATGTCCTGACAGGCCAGATTCTAAAAATATCTGGGGGAGAGACAGTAGTTATGGGAAATTTCAATCTCCTGGAGATTAGTTGGGAGACTCATTCAGGGGTGACAGGCAGGTCACGTTGCTTCCTAGAACTATAGAGGGAGAGTTTTTCCACACACAACGTCCGAGAGGCGACGAGGGTGTGGGGGAACATCCTTGACTTGGTCTTGACCAATAGAGAGGAGCTGATAGATGAAGTACAGCTTAGGGGAGCTCTGGATGTGAGTGATTATTCCATCCTTTGCTATGAGATCAGGGGACTGGGGATGTGCAGCAGGTTGAGCACTAGAAGCTGGGACTTCAAGAGGGGCAACTTTGGCCAACTGTTGTGCCTGAAGCCCTGACAGAGGCAGCACCTCACGAGGAGGTCTTGTGCTTGGGACCCTGTACCCAAACGCTGACCCCACAACCTAGCTTGGGAGTGGCTGAACAGATAGGTGTACCTCCCCCTGACTCCACACCCATTGAGCAAACTCCCGAGCCCACATCAAAGCAAGAGAGCCCTGAGGGAAAAGACATTATGAGTTCTGCTCAGAAAGAGTTAGAGCAGACTGTCCCTCCCGCAACTGACACTGAACTTCCTGAGCATGACGCAGGGAACGCAGGGGGCATGGTAGACTTTTCCCTAGCATCCAGTCACAGAACTCTGAGGAGGTGGGAGCAAAAACAAGCCCTGTTATGCCAGAGAGAAGCAAGGCAGGACCAGGAGAACTCCGGGAGAGAGGGAGAGGCATCACTAAAGAATTAGCATCTGCATTGTAAAGATATCAACAGTAGAGCTTATCTGTAGAGTTGTAAATCTTGTAGATAAGTAGCAATAACGGACTTTAGGACTTTAGTTTTATTAGTTTTATTGCTCGCAGTGTGGGTTGTTTACATGTTGATTTCCAACCTGAAGGCCAGACTGGGCAAAGTCTCCTAGGATAGGTTACTGGAAGGCAAGCAAGTTGAGGAGGGGTGGATGGCACTCAAAAGGGAGATTTTGGAGGCACAAGCCTTGATGATACCTCTAGTTAGTAAGGTGGAGAGCCAAAGGAGAGACCCATGGATGTGAAAGGAGGAGATTAGAGGGCTTAGATGAAAGAGGAACCTCCGTAGGAAATGGGTCTTGGGGCAAATAGACAAACACATGCATTTGATAGAACATGGAGTGGGAGGAAGTCATGATTTTCTTCACCTGGTTGAGCCATTTGGGCCACACGATGGCGTCTTGGTCAATGGTGCACTTGCGTCCAGACATTCCCTGTCTTTGTATACTTCCAACTTTGACTTTTGCAATAGAGGTGTTGGGAAACTTCACCCAGTTGAAAATGTCCAATTCAGCTGTTAGGTCCCCCTTCTCATCCAAATACACACCATCCATGGAATGATTGTGAAACTGGGAGCTTCTCAGGAAGGGGTGCAGCTGGAATGGGAGAGAAACTGCTAGCACTGAGGAAAGATGAAACCATGCTGGATTCTCATTTCCCTGTTTGCTCAAGGCTTGTTACAGATTGAAGTGTCTTGTTTGTCTTTTCAAATGCACAAGCACCCTGATTTCATCCCTGAATACTCTTGGTCTCGTTCTGGAGCTTCTGCCCCACGTTTGCCATCCTATACTGGAACATTGGCCCTCAGGGAATGTGAGGCCAATTAAAGCACAGTTTTCAGCACAGAAGTGTTGACTTCTGAAGACCAAAGATAAGTTCAATAAGAAACAAGATTTAGGCAATGGGAGAAGTGCAATTTGGGCAGGGAATAGTTCTAATATAAGCAGGGGAACAGCTCCTGGGTCCACCTGGACAACTAGTTATGCATCGTGCACTACAAGCAAAATCAAAAGATTTGATAATGCACAGCCATAGGCTGAATATATGTTGATTACCCTTGAATGTGGACTATTGCTGAAACATGGATAATCATCATGTGGTCAGAACCCAGCTGAGATAACTCATGCATATATTATCTGGTATCTTCACCATGATATGATATTTCACTTAGTTTCAGAAGGCGTAATAACCTACATTTCAACAACATGCCACCATTCAAGCATCAGCCTCACACAACCATTCTGGCAGTCCAAAGTTGTCAAGCCAAATTAACTAATTGGGTGGAAGAATGTGAGCAAAGGCCTTGAGGACTCCTCACCATGCCAGTTTGGTGCCACGCACGATGTCTTGAGTCATGTGTGGGGTGGCCTTCCTGATGGAATGCAACCTCTGCATCCAGAAAATGGCAGAAGCAGAGATCTGCACAGACAATGTGCAAAAATACCCTTGTGAGTCTGTAACATTTCACTTCAGTTCTTCATGGACAATGAACTTGTGCAAATACTTTTGATGCCCATACCTGCCATGACTGAAGGCTTTTCACATCTGGCCGGTGTCCATCCTCGATCCTCATCTTCTGGAATGTGGAGGCAAAAGCCACACCCAAGACCTGGGCCACAGCCTGGATGGTGCTGTAGGAGAGGAAGCTGTCCAGAGAAAGCGTTCTCTGCACGTCATGTCTGGACAGGGCCTCCCCTTTCCTGTTCTCTCTGCATCTTTCCCACCCTTCCACTGACACCACATGATTTGCATAGGAACAGTCAAATGAGTTCCTCACAAATGCCTCCATAGCATTGTAAAAGGGTACAAAATCCTCATGGTATATCCTTTTATTTCTCTGAAGAATGAAGGAAAAGAAACCAAGCATATTTGGGAAATCTAGATCAGTATACACAAAATCTAGGGTGAAATCCCACATTGCTGTGGTAATCCAGACTTTTCCTACGGTGTGTTTCCTCATTGTCAAAGTAACCTGTATCATGGATATTCCAAGGAACAACAGACTAGTCTCTGAACAATAAACAAAAACATGGATTTCTTCCAACTTCTCAAACGAAATATGATGGACCTCTTCAGAAATCCATTTCTCTTCCGAGAAAGAATAAGAAAAGGACACACAAATGCCATTCCTGAGGAGCTCAGGTGTGAAGGTTCTCATGAACGTATTTCCATTATCAGTCTCTGAAGCAAAGAGCCCAACCATCGTCCATCTGAAATGCAGGAGGAGTTTGACGATACCCCTGTACTGGACCCCTCCTTTGGGGAGCATGTGGTAGAGGAAAGGGAACTTTCTTTGATCACTCAGGACTGGAGAATTGAAAGCATAAGAGACCTGAGGAGGAAAAGCAGAGACTGATGGATTGATTTCAGAATCACATTTCTTTTCTTCATCTCATGAAATCACAAATCTTGACAAGCAATTATCTTTGTGAAGCATTCCACTAGGAAGAAGTAACTCCCTTCCTCCCTCCCACCATTTCTTTTTGAAATATCAAATGTTGAAATATCAAATGAAAGTATAAAACACAAAAAATGGATAGCCACGTAGCTTGACCAGTGGTGTATCTCCTAAATTTCCAGAGTGGAAGAAAGTTCCCAATGATCATCCACCTTTTCCAGCAGTAGGACTGTGCTTCGGTCAAAGGGATGGACTCACAAATTTTTTAGCTTTCTATGCCACTTTTTTTCATATGAAGTCGAAGTAGCTCGTACATCTTTCTCCTCCTGCTGCTCTCAGTTCTATCCCCAAAAGAACAGGACTGTGAGGTAAGTTGGACTGAGTGTCTCTGAATGGTCCAATCGTCCAGTGGGCTCTGTGACCAAGCAGGGACTAGAGCCGGTCAGCTGGGTCCCAGTCTCATGCTCTTAACCGCTACACTGCACTGGCTTACTAAAGTTGCTGGATTGTTTGCCTTTCCTGGTGTGTCCAAATGGTCCTCAACCCTGAGCTCTGTGTAACTTGAAGGTTATGAGCCTGATGGCTTGATCTGTCAATCCTGTAAGAATTTTCCCTTCAAAAGAGACAACATGGTCCTACTGACGTAGAACAGGATACATGTGTGTGGCATGACAGTAGCTTTAATAAAAAATAATGCTCTTTGTCCATTATTATTCTGTGTCATCATGTCATCTCTGACTTCTGGAAAGCTTTTGAATGAAAAACCTTCCAAATGTCCTGTCCAGGCCAGCCTTGCACAGCTCATCCAAGCTCATGGCTGCGAATTTCTGTATTGACTGCATCCATCTCTTATGTGGCCTTCATTTTCTTCCTCTGTCTTCAACTTTCCTAAGCAGCTCTTGATCTGGACTGATTATGTCCATGGCATCCAAAATACCCACTGTGTAACTATGGAAAAAATATTCATTTTTTTCTAACAGAAATGCCAAGTAAAGGTGGCTTGCAGCTGAATTTTTTCCCCACACCTGTCCAACTTTGTAGATGCCTAACTGATTTGCAATTTGATAGGAGATTTCAGAGTCGGATCCTTCAAGGAGAGCCAACAGTTGCTGTTTTCTGCCACACTTGTAGTTGGGAACATGCGCCTGACTGGTCGAAAGCAGGTCTGTGACAGCATCAGAAGTCAGTCTAGTATTTTCATAGCAGTCATAGATGTTATAGCCCAGGGTGATGTTGGGCAAGATGCTGGGATTCTGGTTGATCTCCTGAATGGCAAACAAGAAGGAGAGGACCTTCCAGTAATCCGGGCTTCCTAACCTGGGAAAAAAGCAGATGTGTTATGTTAGTACCCCATCTGCAACAAAATTATATTTTCTCCACATGTTGCCTTGGGAGTTCTCATAGTTACATGCATTCATATATTTTGTGACCGTTCTTCTATGGATTTCTACATACTGACACTGAGCCCAAGGCAAAGCCAAAAGCAAAATGGCAATGGAGAGTCAGGAGACATCTGCACTGCTGACCATATTTTCTTCATGCTGGCTAGTTCCTCACAACTTCTACCTTTGTGTGATTAAAGAACCCCCTACCTGGCTGTCCATGTACTTTGTCTCATTGGGTGAACCATCTCAGGAACTTACTTTTTGTGTTTATTAGAGGCCGGCTTCCTGAATGTGTGTGGAAGGAACTCGACAGGCCTTGCAAAGATGGCCGTCGCAATGATGTAGTCTCCTGGCCTGTAGTAATTCTGGGGGTGAACCTCATCCCTGTGCCAGCTCCAGGGGCATCGGGCCCTCAGCATCCCACCGGAGGCCTCTAGGAGCAGCAGCGGCAGCAGCAGCAGCAGCAGCAAGAGCAGCATCATTCTGGCTCTTCCAGGCATGGCCTCTCTTCCCCAATGAGGAATGGTGAGAAGCAACATCAGCAGCCAAAGCCCCCTTGTGGAGTCAGGCTTCACTCGCTGTCCAGATCCTAACCCTGCACCAAGACCTCGCCACCTGTCCTCAAGCTTCTCCCAAGCAATGAGTGGAAGGAGAGGCATTTATGTGCCATTGACTTTGTGCCTGGACACAAGGCAGCACCTCCTGGGGATCTACAATCCCATGTTTACAATGCTGAACTCAAGGATGGTATTTTCAGGGAGGGGATCCCAAGAGTTTTAGCAGGAATACCAGTAAAGCATTTTGATTTCCAAAACTGTATGTTCAGGAAGGTGGGACACCTCTGCTACTTCCCAAACTCTCCAAATTGCTCTATGTCTGGGCCCAATTTAAGGTGCTGGTGGTAAATTATAAAGCCCTAAATGTCTTGGGACCAGGATACCTGAAGGAACATCTCCTTCTTTATATGCCCTCATGCCCCTTAAGATTGGCAGGAGTGGCCCTGCTCCAGGAAAACTTCCTGAAGGAGGTCAAGAGTTTTTCTACCCGGAGGAGGGCCTTCTCTGGCGCTGCCCTGATTGTGAAATCTGCTCTCCAGAGAGATTCGCCTGGGGTTGACTTTATTCTCTTTTTGATGCCAGGTAAAAACCTTGTTATTTACCCAACATTTTAAGCATTAAAGGATTTTAAATGGTTTAAATATTAACAGTCACATTTTTGTTTTGTTTTGTTTTGCTTGTGTTATGAATGAGGTAGAAGGAAGAGGTAGAAGCACACCACTGGAGAAAAATTGTTTTGGAGGACTCATGGATGCTGCTTCTTCAAATGAACCGGGATCGAGACACTTTCTTGTCTGTTGTGATGTTGCATATATTGTGGCACAGATAGTTTGTTAGTAGAGGGCACTGGGGTAGAGGAGGAGATTTTAGTCCATGTTGATAGCAAGGATGCGGAATATTGTCATGATGAGCTCCTGGAAGCCAAATCAGGGCTCCTGGATGGAAGGTCAGTGGGGGTGGCGTGAAGGCTTCTGGTCCCTGCGGTTACCACTGATGTGAAGGAATGCATTCTCTGGGCCCTGGGAGAAAAATTTAGCTTGCAGTGTAGGAGACTGGGGTCCAGGGTCACCAAGGTGGTTTTCTCTGGAGTACCCCTGTGGCATGTGATGGCACAACTCCACAGCACCGGAATGCAATGCATGGATGAGATGGTGGGGCAGGGAGGGGGCTTCCAATGTGTTAGGCCCTGGAGAACACCTTTGCTCTTGTGTTACTCCAAATGCTGTTGGGATTTTTCTTTGGTGTTTGCATTACGGGAACCAGAAACATTCTCATCAACATGCTTCCCAGTTCCCCTCAGCTTTCCCATGTGTTAGTTTTCAAAGTGGCTCTACCCAGCTGGGTGGAGCAGAACCCATCCTTCTTGCACAAGCCCAGTTTCTCCAAAACTATGGGGTGCAGGTTTCTCCCAAACCCTGTGCAGCTTGTCAATAGGGCTGACTTCTCAGTCTCCTACACTGGGTGATCCTTCATGGGAGCTGCAGTGGCTGGCTGCCATCCCTTCTTCCAGGGGGATAAGGCAGGCCTGAAAGCTTCTTCCATCCAGTTTACCTTCCTACCTCTTCCCCTCCTTCCTGTTTTGTGTTTACCTCATCCCTAGCTTACTTCTGAGTGACCTGCAGGGGAAGGCAGCTTCCACCCACTCTTGCTGCTGCTTCCCATCCAGGATTCCAGGTACATGTGACCTTTTTTGAGTATGACTCCCATCAACATGAGCTTACTCTCTCCTCTCCACCTCCTGGTCTTCAGTATCTATTTAGAAAGACAGAAGTACATTAGAAACAGAAGCATAGCAAGTCAGAAGGGCCCCCCTAGCCATTTAGTCTGATCCCTGGCACAAGCCGGTTCCACTCATATAAAAGTCAAGATGTGGGTGTCCAATCTTTCCCTGAATGCCATCACTTATGGGAGCTCCGCCACCACCCCTGGAAGTTCATTTCATACCCTAGTCATCCTAAGTGTCAGGAAATAATTCCTTCTTGTTCCATTTCCAGTATGAGGGATGGAATTTAAGGATGATGAACAAGGGGCTTTAACATAACAGCTGTTGAGGATCAATGAAAAAAGGTGTTCTGACGTATTTATAAGAATGTATTTGATGAGCGCTCTAGAGCAATAATGTCAGGTTCTCATTCTTCTCTTCTCAAGGTTGAATATGCCCAGTGCTCTGAATCTCTCCTCAAAGGGCAGGGTTTCCAAATCCTGGATCATTTTTGCTGCCCTCTTCTGAATGCTTTCTGGGTTGAGTACTGGGCTGAGCATGGGAGAAAGCTCAGGAATACTTGAAAGGACAGATGCTGAGAGAGCCTTCCGACTCCGCTCACCACGATATCTGCACAGCACACTCCCCATGGGAAAAACCTCCAATGGGGAATGTGTACTCGAGCAAGTCCCCGGGACTTCCTGCATCACACAGTATCTGAAATGTATGTGGCCTGCAAAAAGGCTTTGAATGATTCTCTAGGCCACTGCCCAGGTCCCCTACAGGGATCTCCAAGTACAGGCTGAGCAGGGAATCTTCCTGGCAGAGAAAGCTCTGCAACGATCCCTAGAATATACATGGAAAGCCTTGTGGGCCAGAAGATCCCCATTGCCCATGACATTAACGTTAACATGTGGATTTGGAACACACATGAATGACTGAAAATGTAGCACCTGGATATCTGAAGGATCTCCTATACATCTGTGAGTAACCTATGATCATCTGCTGAGCCCCAGAAGCCCTCTTTGAGAGAAGCTAGAAGAGTGGCCACCTGGGAAAGGCCCTTTGGAATGACAGTACCCCATTGTGCAATCTGCTCCCCAGAGTGGAACACCTGGTGTGACGTTTTCTCATTGTGGCACCTGGCTAAACCCTTAGATTTACCCAGTAATTTAAGAGCTGGGTCAGTGCCCCGTACTTTTTTTTTATAGTAATCCATAAACATATTTAAGTCTATGCACAGTCCCGTTCCTCTAGCCAATAATAAAAAGAATTCCAAGTTTGATAGAAGTCTGTATCCTCTTTCTCCTTCAGAGACAAAGTCAATCTGTTCATTTTGGCACAGTCCAGTCCAAAATCTTTTTAAAAATCACTTCGTCGGTAGATGGTTCTTCACTCCTCCAATGTTGGGCAAATGCAATCCTTGCCGCAGTAATTACATGTAGAATCAAATACATTGCTTGATCAATATCAAATAAGAAAACTTCAGATTTAAATATTAGAGGTTTTTGTACCATTCCCTCAAGCCATTTTTGTATTTTAACCCAGTATTTTTTGCCTTGTCACAAGTCCACCACATATGATAAAAAGTACTCGGTTTATGTTTGCATTTCCAACATCCATTTAACATATTTGGAAACATCTTAGCTAATCTATTAGGTGATAAATACCATCTATAAAACATTTTATACAAATTTCTTTATATGAGGTTGCTGATGTTACTTTAATATTTCTTTCCCACAGTTTTTGTCATTTCTGTAGTTCAATATTGTATCCAAAATTTGTGCCCACGTTATCATAGTATCCTTAACTTGTTCATCTTCCATTCTCCTACCCAAAAGGAAATTATACAATCTTTTAATCATTTTCTCATCTGATTTTAAGATCACTTGGCCAAATGTTGTTAACTCCTTACAAAACCCCACATTTTATTATCTTTAACATATCTCGATTGTATTTGAACCTTATGCCATCAAGAAATATTAATTCCCTTCCCTTGTAATTCTTGGTTCGGTTTCAATCTGCCATCATTATGTAGAGTATCATCATATGTCACAATCATATCAAAATTCAATGCATTTGGATATACAAGAGCTTCCATAGGCGAAAGCCATCTTGGTAATTTAGTGTACAGTTTTGTCCTTAGTTTTTTCCACACCAACATTAATGAATGTCTAAAATAATTGTTTAAAAAACAACCATGTGCCTTACACTTCTCATAACACATATAAGTGTGCCAACCCATTTGCAAATCAAGCCCTTCAAGATAGAGGATTCTCTTATTTCTCAAGGTTATCCATTATTTTAGCCACGGTAAGACAGATGCTTGATAATACAGCATCCAATCAGGAAGAACAAAACACCCATTCCCTTTGGCCTCCTGAAGCATTTTTAGATTAATCCTTGGTTTCTTCTTTTGCCATACAAATCTCAAAATTTGGGTGTTTAGATCATCAAAGAATTTTTTATCAATTTGTATGGGAATTGTTTGGAATAAAAATAAGAACTTTGGCATTAATTCATTTTAACTATTGCTATTCTTCCCAGCAAAGATATTTATTTATTTATTAAAACATTTCTATGCCACCCCATTCACTGAAGCCTTGGGGCGGCTCGCAACATAAAATAAAATACAAAAATAACAATATAAAAATAACAATATAAAATAAATAACAATATAAAATAAGATAGTTGCAAATTAGCCCATTTTTCCAGGTCACTCTTAATTTCCTTAAATAGTTTATCATAATTATCTTCTTTCAGTGTAGTACATTTAGCTGTAAGGAAAATTCCCAACTATTTAACCTTTTTAACAGTTTGAAGATATACTTGTTCCATCAGAGTTTTTCACTGCTCCAATGAGAGATTTTTCACTAACAATTTTGTCTTCTCTCTATTTATTTTCATCCCAGTAACTTCACCATATTCGTCTATCTTTTGTAGAAGTTTAGACATTGTCCCCAAGGGTTGCTTGAGGATAAAAACTAAGCCATCTGCAAATGCTTGCAGTTTATAGCTTTCATCTCTATTTCGAGCACCTTTAATATCCATACCTTCTCTAATATTTCTATTTAACACTTCTAAAATCAATATAAATTACAATGGTGATAAAGGACATCTTTGTCCTGTGCCCTTTTGAATATCTTTAGTATTTGTAAGTTCTCCATTAATATAATATAATATAATATAATATAATATAATATAATATATATTTGTGAGCCGC